GAATAGGTACCTAAGGACAGATACCTAAGGTATGCAGGCTCGGGCCTAATAGGCAGGCTGGGTGTACCTTAGCAGGCCAGGCTTCTGGGGGTTAGCGAGGCTTGTGCGAGGCTTCCATGTGTTAGACCTATAAGTCCTGCAACTATTAGCCAAGTATCTACCCCTCTATAGATATAGTAGCTCTCGGTAATGTAAGCGAGCTTAAGAGTAGTAGTCAACAGGCTTGAACGCGGTAACAAAAGGACGTTTATTAATAATTGAAACATTCATCACTGTGAAGTGAGGTAGTTGATGGCATTTAAAAATGTAAATGTTTAATAGTTTGTTGACGTTTATTTTCTCAACCTATTTCTTGTTAGATTATCTTAGGCCTAGATTAGCAGGTTATAAAACCACGCGGGATCTATTAGCACTACTACTACGTTAGTTGTATTGAGTTACTGATTCTCTCTGTAATATTGTCCCATTCAAACCTCTACTATTATCTGATAGATAGAGCAATGATTTGTGACGATGATAATAGCTTATTTGCTTAGTCCCCGATGCACTCATCAACATCAAAACGAAAACTCGAGATTTCTTAGAGACCCCATATGACCCCTTATAAATACATAGTAGGTGGCTACACTAGATCTCTAGATCTCTAGACCTACAGATTATAGTAGCTACTACACACCTGCTATAATAATTCCCGCTATTGCGCATAAAAGTTACCAATCTGATGGGACCATCCCGCCGCCTCGGCCGAGTCTACCAGCCCTCCGAGGCAGACTACCTCTTTAAAAAGGGGGAATTCGCGGGGGAAAACGTGGGGGACGGTCCAGTAAAAAAAGGACCTCGGTTGAGTTACCGTACCTGGCTATTTCTGCGGGCCCGCTCCTTTGTACATATCCAACCTAGGTACACCCTTGCTGACTTTCATCGTTACTCTTATTGAGCAGCAGTCATCATCAGGTCATGTAACAATTCCAATACTAGATAGTATCTATCTATCTAGGTATAATCACCACCTAGTAGTAAGAAAATATTCATCTAGCACAAGGGGAAGAGTGCAGAGAAACATATATACGCATAATGGCCGACTTAGTCAAGGTCTCGTACTCGGGGCGTATAGCCACCATCACCATCGACAATGACAAAAAGCTGAACGCCTTGGGCATGGAGGGATACTACGCGATTTCCAAGGCCCTTCGAGACATTGCCATACGCGACGACATCTACATCACCATCCTGACCGGAAAGGGCCGGTATTTCTCCGCGTAAGTCATATTCAGTTTTCCAGATAAACATGCACAGAGAGAGAGAGAGAGAGAGTATTTGAGGCGAGAATATATATATCAAGCGTTCAAGAGGGTGTTTAGCGCGAACGGTAGCGCTGTCCCATAATCGCCCGAGACACAGCACAGTCTAGAGTCACACTGCCCGAACATCCCCACATAAACAATGAAAAGAGACCAAACAAACGGGCACAGACGTCAGCTAACATACCAACCCCAGCGGCGCCGACGTGTCCGTAGGCCGGGACCTCCCGCCCGACGTCGACCCCTACAAGGAATGGCTGCGAACTTTCGTAGCCAACAACCTCAACATAACCCAGGCGTTCTACAGCCACCCCAAGATCCTGATCGCGGCTCTGAACGGGCCGGCAATCGGACTCTCTGCGGCTCTGACGGCCTTCGCTGACTTCGTCTACGCCGCGCCGCACACCTTCCTGCTGACGCCGTTCTCGTCACTCGGGCTCGTGGCTGAGGGCGGCGCGTCGCAAGCCTTCGTGCAGCGCCTGGGCATTAGCAAGGCAAACGAGGCCCTGATCATGAGCAAGCGCATCACCATCGACGAGCTCGTCGTTACGGGCTACGTGAACAAGGTTTTCGCGTGTGATAAGGGTGATGACGAAGGCTTCATGCGCCAAGTGCTGCAGGAGGTCGACGATCGCCTGGGCGACCATCTCATCGGCGACTCCTTGACTGGCATCAAGGCGCTCATCCGGAAGCCGGAGCGCGAGATCCTCGACAGGCAGACGGTTGCAGAGGTATTTGCCGGCTTGGATCGCTTCGTCAAGGGGATTCCTCAGAAGGAGTTTCAGAAGATTGCCTCGGGCCAGAAGAGGCACAAACTATGAATGAGATGGAGCGAGCGCCGAGTGCCGAGCAGGCATGTAGTCATCGTGCGAAAGAACTTTCGTCTAGGTTAGATTTCTATAGAGCTGTCCAACCCTTATAAATTGGCTATCAACATACAAATACCACATCACAACGAACCCATCCACATGAGTATCATCACGCAAGTAACCCAAATAAAAGGCTCGTCCTTTTCCAGTACTCCTGTGACGCTTTCATAAGGCGGCGCTCTGCTTCATTGTCGAGGCCCGTCTTCTTCAAAACCTCTAAACTGAGATCTTTCATCGCCTTAACCGAGTCGGTATTCCCAATGTTTAGATAGTGCTGCAGAAGGTTAATATCAAACAGCCACTGAATGAATACGTCTCTGCTGCGCTTGGATGCCTTCTTGCCGGTTGCCTTTGCATTGTCGTCATTTTCTGTTGATGCCTCATCCTTGTCATTCTTGTCGTCTTCGTCTACTTTGGACGCAGATTCCGCCTCGTCTAAGCCTAGAATAGTGGCCGTGAGTTCCTTGCGCCACACAATCGCAAGTTGTTGACTTAAAACGCGCTTCAGAGTCTTGGCAGCAGCTAGGGTCCAGAGATCGACACCTAGATCATCCATTGAAACAGTAATATTTCGTAGAAGCTTGAAAGTGCTAGGAGAAGGCTGCGTAGGCAAGGCTGGCTCTCCCTCCCATAACGCTCGGCCAGCCACCCGTTGCTGTGTCAGCGTTGTCGCGGCGAATTCCTCCAGCGACGCTACAGACACATGGATTGCAAGTTTTTCATGCAGTGAAGGGACATTATCCAAGCCGAAAGACCGCACTCCCTCAAGTTTAGGTAGACGGCTCCGGATGTCCCTCAAGATCCGGAGGATATACGTGGCAATTTGTCCGTTGTCCAATCCATCCTTTCGACCTTGCCACAACTCCGTCAGTTGCTCGTTGAGGTCTTCAAATGCCTTTATTAGCGTTTCGTCGAGTCGTGTGTGCAGTAGTTGTGGGTCATCTTTGCTTAAGAGATCCTGTCTCGTCTCAATGACCTCCTCATCTTCGATTTCGTCTTCATCATTATCCCACCTCTGCCGTTTAAGCTGCTCTACTAGATCACCAACGTTGCCAATTATGTGACGCCACGATTCATACCCGGTGATGGCTCGTGCGACGGCATCATTTCTCCCGTAGACGCGAGATACAACTGCGTGAGTAACTTGAGCAGCGCCGACGGAAAAGTCCATCCCAAGCATCTCGTCATCCCAAAGGCCGTGTTGGCGATCAGTAACGCCTGGTTGCCACGCCTCCAATGTGGCAGCAACTTCAGTCCCAACGAGCTTGAGCCTTGCCACCTTCGTTTCTATGAGTTGTAAGAGATGATCATTGATGGCTTTTCGCAAACTGTCGAGCATTATAGACGGATCAAACCCTCTAGCCTTTCCGCCATCCCGAATCCATTGCTGTAGAGTACTTGTCCGCAATTCTATGATAGCTTTGAATTCGGAGATGTGCTCGAGCGTATTGCTGAGGCCGCTTAAAACAGTTTCTCCGCCCTTCTTCGCCCAACCCGTGAGCATTTCCTTGGCTTGTTTTCCGTCCAGGTCGTCATGTCGTATGAAAGGTGTGAAGTACCGGATGTCATCACCGCACCACCTCTCGAAAATATCCACCCTGAGGCCTTCCAGAGACCGTAGTGCTTTGTCGGTGAGAAGGGGTTTCTTCTTGAGTTCTAGTAATGCCTCTGGTAGCTTATTAGGGACTAATGCTTGCACATCCACTAATGTCTTGGTGTATAGCTCAAGGCCTCTAAGGATATTATCCGTGCCCTTATCCTTCTCGTGTTCCTCAAAGTCAAACTCATACGTAATTGCCTCGGCCCTAATGCTCAGAAACCGCCGTAAGACGTCCCTCGTGCCGGAACTTGATGAAATGCTATATGCGGACAAGGCTTTGAGTATATCAGTTATGTCCGTCCCCTCCCCAACCTTTCGCAGCACCTTCTCAACTGCGCGTATAAGTTTTCTCCTTAATCCATCCAAGTTCTTCTTCGCAGCCTCGACCGCACTTCTAATTTCTTCGTCCGAGGCCTTCAGATTTCCGAAACTAGACACAAGCAATCGACTAAGCACGAAGACTTTTGCTGCCAGCACGAGTCGGTCCCCCCTGCTTTCCTCTGCACCTTTACTTGTGCCCGCCTTCAGCAACCGGCTGACAGCAAGTCCGCATGCCTTAAGTAGTTTGATGCGCGCAGTCTGACTCAAAGCAGCCTGTGCATCCTCATTGCCACGGAATCTCCCCAAGCCCACGTTCTTATTGTCAATGACGGTGCGGCCGCATTGGCTACCCATGTGACCGAGCACCTCCTGGGCCGACAGCATATCCTCCCGCATCTGCACGATAGTGTCGGCGGTGCCGAGTAGTTGGCGGTAGCTATTGCCGACCTGGGTGCGCAGACGGGCTGATTTCTCGTCGATCTGGGTGTGTAACGTCTTGTGAATGGCACGGATTTGCGGGAGCGTGTATGTCGTGAAGATTTGAGCTGAGCTTGTCAGCGTCGATGTGTCGGGTGTTGCCATTTTTGGCGTGAGAGAGGCCCGGCCCGGCTCGTCCCTAGAAGGAGTCGTGGTTGTGTTATCGTGGTCTAAGCATTGGTATGATGAGGTTTTGAGCTATCCAAGCAGGTAGGTAGATAGCTTTGTGCTAGATAAAGGTGCTGTCTGCGGCAGGGATTGCCAGATTTACAACCTGGCAACAAGGGTCAGATCTGACAGCTGCTAACAGGCGTCCGTCATCAATAAATGGATAACAGCAACCTAGCCCAGTCAAGTTGGTCCATCCCAACTGTATCAAGCAAAAAAGAATGTTAAAAAGCTCTTGTTATTCTCCGAACAACAGGAGTTTAATGATGAGAGTGGGACTCGAACCCACGCGGATTGCTCCACCGCGAAGTTCTTGGTGATCTTGATTGCTCAAGTCTACCTGAACACGGCGCCATAACCACTCGGCCATCTCACCGGAGGTCGTTAGTGTTGACCAATTGATGGTGAGCCGGGTCAGTTTTGCAACTCATATTGTGTGTATCTAGGCTATGTGGGGACAACTTGGTGGACTTTATGAGTGTGTCGCCCGAAGAGTGGCCTATTCTGGTATCCCGTATCCACCAGTTAACACTAGAGGCCTACGTACCTAGGTAGATATCTTGAAAGTGCGACGAGCTATATCATGGAAACCTCATTCTATACCTAGGTACGCCCACTTAACTAAACTGAGAGTTACTCACGTAACAGGAATATTCAGGTACTTGATTGAGGGCGAGGATACTAGGTTGGTGAATAATACCAAAGAATCTCTATTGACACTGAGAGGTGGTCTCTCCACAACCATGCCCTGCATTGAAAAACCTACGTGATAGCCACCGGAAAGGTTATGGGGGAAATATCGGTACGGTCAATGAATCTCAGTAATTCGAGTATTTCCCTCGAATACTCCTAGATGTTCTCAATCACGATGTCCCGATTCACAGCATAAAATACTGCAGATCGCCGCTGGGTTCAGTAGATGAAATGTAGGAAGATCCTCGGGATCATCACGGGCGCGCGCAAGGCAATGCTGCGAATCTCAACGGTGGCCTTGAGCTTACCAAGGTTCATATGGTAAGAATCTAGCACCCCATCCGTACCACTCTGTAGGTGACGATCCGGTATCAATACTGTTGCTTGGAGGTTCACCTCACACCTTATCTCCCGAGAGCACTAATGTTTGAGATTCATGAAGTAGATAGGAGAGGTCGTTCGATCGCTTCTTCTACATTATAATAATGAATATTCAAGTCAGAATCGCAGTTCCTCCAGAATAGTGTGGGACCGAGAAATGCATAGGTGCTCATCGTGCCGTGTCCGTTTCAGGTATACCCCTTCTATAGAACCCTTGCGAGTGATGTACCGTAGGGGAGAATAGTGCTTGATGGAGGAAAGAATTCAAATGTTACCTAAATACCGAGTACTATGAAGAGACACACTAGTGGTAGGTGACATCGTAGTCCAAGTATTTTGCGAGTATGAACCGTGTGGCGGAAAATTACCTACGTCGGCTTAACCCCGAACATGTTCTATAATCAAACTAACACGCAACTTTCTAGCTGCCATACTCACTCTCGCTTCACTATCAGTATAGATTTTACTTGAAGCGCGCCTTCTCGGTAGTCCCCGATAACATGCGCAGGTCAATCGGCTTTTCACTCTTGTCGCCTCGATTGTGCGGGCTGGTTTGATCATTTGATTAAGCAGTGTCAAGGTTGCGAGATGCATTTCCCCCCACAACCACCACTCGTCGAGGAGAATGCAACGGCATAAGCCAAACCATGACATCTTCTTCTCGGAAACCAAGTAGTCATTTGATAACTTTGACCTCGTGATGAAGTATTTTACCTGGTGATGTCGGCTCATACCACGGTCCGAATGCAGCTCCAGTCTATCCCCCAGATTGGCACGTAAATCATGGAGAACCTCGTAGATAGAGTGGTAAGTAGAAGATTTATTTCATCGACAGCATCTGACACGCAGATAGATGCTCCCCATTGCGAAAGGGTTGCTCCCCGATGTTCTGATTGGCAAAAATGAGCGGGAATGATGCTCATGATGCTACAGGTCCATTCATCCATGCCCTAATTTGGCCACCTTGCTTTTGCGCACGGATGGGGCAGAGAGGCTTCTGGAGCTTTGCCTACCCGCGCCCGCGCATATGCGACATCTTGGACAATTCAACCGGCCCTTTTCTTCGCCACTAAGGTGTGGGCAGCCACACCTCAAGTTAATCCGTCACCACCAGTCGGCTGCCGGGACAGCTCGATATCCAGTCCAGTCACAAATAAGCCCAATCCCTTTTAGTAAAGTAGGTTCAAGCTAGTTGTTCGAGCATGAAGCCCTTGAGGTCAACGGCTCTCCGTCGTCTGATCATCGCTATTAGGCTTTTTGATACTTTTTTTTCTCATCCCATCATTAGACTACTCTTCGGGTGTATCCGCACCCCTACCACGACCCAGATCGTAACGATTTCGGGCTTGGCCGTCTGATGTCAGAACCCTAAGAGGAGAGAACTGAGAGGTTCGAATCGATCACCCCAACCTAGAAACCAAGGGCAAGGTGAATATCTATACTCTTGCCAGAAGACAGCAGCTGTCTTTTAGCAGTGTATTGCGGCGGGTGATACTTTTGCTCTCTCAACCGTCACTGACCGTGGCCTTTGCCGAGTGATTTGAATGTTAGTTGGTGTCTAGTAAGATAATCAACCCGATGAGCATAGATTTCTAAGCTAGTCGCCTTCGAAGCAAGTAGCACGTTGGAGTATCTGTGATTTTCATTCAAGGCCGTCCATGTGGCGATCCGATGCGGTTCGTCTGATACAAGAGGCTGATTTATCCGGCAGTTCCTTCTGATGCCGTTCGTAAAGCTCACCTATTCCAATGCTAGGCGTAGATCATCTCCATGCAGTCGACGACCCGCAGTCTCGTTTTCGCCTTCAAGGCGCCGCTATACTACTATATCTGAAGGCTTAGCCCTCTCGTTATGGACTTAAAGCGAGAGTTAATTTTTGCTTCCTTTCATCCTTTCTGTCAGCGTGTTTAGTGAGCTGCCATAACACGCCTTGTTTCCGTGGCACAATCTTCAACATGTGTACGTTAACTAGTATTGCTACTGCAAACACCGTGGGGGTGGCTATGCCCTCTATCGATCCATTCCGCTTCTCCAGCAGTCAACAGAGCCTCGCGATAGCGATCATTATAGCCTCCACGGCTCTCGGCTTCATAGTACTATGCATCAGAGTGGCTGGCAGGGTGTCATCACATCAATTTGCGTTGGGTAAGCAACTTATGGCACGTTTCGAATAAGCAGCTAACACATGGAATAGACGATACCTTGGTATGCATAGCTATGGTAAGCGGTCGACGATATATAGCTGTCTATGAAGGAAACGAACTGACGGTGTGTCGTCTATAGGTATTATCAATACTAGAAACGGCAGCTAGTTATATGTGTTAGTTCTGAGCGGTGCGATGATATGGTCCATGTCACATATGCTGACCTATTTCAAGTTATCAAGACGAATTTCATAGGAATCAGATGGCAGGACATTCCGCCCCACGATCCTGTACCAGGTTTGGTATGGAATTACGCAATTGAGATTCTTTACAATCCAATCCTAGCGCTAGTAAAGACATCGATACTACTCTTCCTGCTCCGCCTTTTCGGGCAGAAGCCTGGGGTGAGGCGCTTCATCATATGGGTGAACACTGCCAATATCGGGATGATGATCGGAGTCTTCTTTGCCACTGTATTTCAATGCGTCCCTATCAGCAAGACATGGGAGACAACTTTAGAGGGGACATGCATTGATAGAAGAATTTTGTTCACTGTCTCGTCCTCGTTTAATATTGTCGCCGATATGCTCATCCTAGCACTACCGCTAAAGATATTCATCGGTTTGAAGATACCTAAGCGTACCAAGATCGCTCTGATGTTTGTTTTTCTGCTAGGCTTCCTGTAAGTCTCCCTCGTAGCAACCCGGCCAAGAAAGGAGGCGCATGGTGGCTGATTCCGCTTGAAATTTAGGACAACCATTACGAGCATTGTCCGCCTTGTCCTTCTTGTTCAAGGGCTATTTATGTTAAATACATCGTTGAGCGCCGACGCCAACATCGGCTTCGTGACATCCGCTATCGAGACGAACCTTGCGATCATCACAGCATCGGCACCAGCGTTAAGACCGTTACTTCGTACATGGTTTCCTAGACTATTCCGTGTTGATCGCGACGAGGTTGTCGGCAACACGGAGCGTAGGGTGTTGGGCACGGCGGCAACGCGGATGACGCGGCTCAAGTCACAGACGCAGCTTCAGAGCCAGAGCCCTCGGAAGAGCGAGGAGGCGATCATGACATTCAATGGCATTGTCAAGAAAAGTGACATCATTATCCAGTATGATAGCCCCAGGTTGGACAACATGCGGCCGGGCACGGCTACCCGGAGCCAAGCAGACTTCGAGAGCCAACAGGTAGAGAAGTGGATATAGTGCCTACTTTTCCCTACTTTTCTCTATTTGCTTTTTCCCGCTCGACTGTCATTAGCGTCAACGTATGAGATCGGAATACTTGGGTAATGGCTCTCCGGCGTTCGAGGTGGAAAATACCTGTTCATTTCCAGTGCGCATCGGTGTGGCGTAGGAGTTTCTGATTGTGGGTGCATGGGGGGGCTCGTTCAAATAATGTATCTACGCATTAATGTTTACTAAAAAGGAAAAAAAAAAACCTTCGAACGCGAAAAGAATGGCTCGAGATTAAAACCTATGCTCGGATACTGCCCTCACTCAGTGCCATGATCACGATGGTGACTAACGATGACCTGAGAGAAATGCGGGATATGTCTCAGACGTCGACGATCCCCCATCGTCGATTCCGGTCCGGCTTTGCATATCTATTGACCCCGGATTCTGACTGGACGACATTCTGTATGGAGGGTGGAGAATGGATATGTACGATGAGTTCAGGGACCTACGCTACACACACTCCTACGCATGCTGGTACGTGTAGGCAATGCACATGATACTGATAAGAGCTGAAAGACTCTTGGCACGATATGTTGTAACTTCCCCGCATTATTCGATCATCTTTAATACTGTGTCTTTCTAGAAGAACAGAAGAGCCTCCGGCAGGGCTTTTCTTTTCATTCGCTAGATACCCCTTGCACAACAGTAGTCGTGCGCTTGATGCCCAAGGATTGATGTGTAGCTCAAAACGTCCGAGCCTTCGACGGGCACGAACGACCTTAATCTAATGGCACGAGAGGATATAGCAGATACTCAAGACTTTAAGTTTCATATGCGAGAATGTTTTTCTTTTCTCCTTCATTAGGTGGCTTCTTGGGTCAGCATCTTTGCATATCGTGCAACACATCGTTTTTGGGGTTCTCATATCCCATTCGTGGATAAAGTATAAGGTCGTAGATGGACGCAGAATTGAGTTC